GGATGATGGACTGTGCCTTTAAAATCAGTCAGGCCTTTTCAGGCACACTTTTATTATAGTGTGTGATAAAATAGACACTGTCAATCAAAACCTGAGAGACTATAATCAATACTATTTTAAGTTACTAGCTGATCAGCTTGATTTAAAGTTAGAATTTGTACATACAATTTAATATTTCAGATGCATTATCTCTGAATTCTGACTTATCTATGATTTTTTTTACTTGTATTTTTCACTAAGTTGAAAATAAAATGTAAAAAGTCTACATGAGAGGCTAAATCACAATTATATTATCTTTAAGGTTAAAATAATAAAGATACAAATTTTAAGATTCTAAGTAAAATATTAATATACTTTGTAACAAGTATGACATAACTTGGCATAATCAGGAGATTTAGGAGATTTAACAAAATATATATATATATATATTTTGACTTTGTACCTCCTACTGTTGACTTTAAAAAAGTCTTAACTGACTGACTACCTCCTAATTTTGATTTAGCCTATTATCTTATACATTTTACCGCATAAGTCAATTTCTTGTCAATTCGTTATCTCCAACAATTCATCGAGTCATACCATTGACTTCATCTGACATGTTTAGGCTCTTGCAGTAAAACCAAGACGAATGTGTAGTCCAGTGTATTATGTCGGTGTGAAACCAGACTGCAGGGGATGTCTCTTTAGCGACCGTTTCATTTTCGTTCTTCCTCTCAAACATCCTTTTTGACAGTGCGCACCGCGGCAGAGAGAGAGCAGCCCTCCCCCTGAGAGGAGGAAGAAAGAGACGGACAAAGTGATACTCTGAAATGTACATCTATTCTGCTTCACCTTTAACGTGATGGTGTGGAGGATTGTGGGAGCGGACACACGTGATTATAACCCAGCGAAGCGGCACTTTTGTCGGTTAAGGAGGGAGACCGAGATGGGGCACGCGTGTGTGTAAGGTAAGACCATCCACCCGTCTGTTCAAACAAGCAGACAAAGTGGACTATTTGTTTTGTGTGCTTTTTTGTTTTTGTTTACATTGGCGTCGAACACTCGCGCGTGATTAACGCGAGTCGGTTAAAAGACACACGTTAGTTTCGTAGATTCGGGTGTAACGTTACACCTGTAGGGACTAGTCATCTCATTGTTGGTGAGGAAGCAGACACCTGTAGAGCCCGACAGCGAGACGAATGGTCACAGCGAGGGAGCTGATTGGCTGTAATGTTCACAGCAGGACACACTAAACTAATAGTTCATGCTGGAAACAACAGAGTCCGTGATATTTTGTTTTTTTTCATAGGCTAGTGATTAAAAATAATTTTAAAACCTATAAATGCAATATACATATCTTAATTTACGTAAAGTGTCTTACATTTAGGGGGATCTATTGGCAAACATATATAATATTATATTTAAGATGTTTTCTTTTGTGAATAATCTCCTGAAAATTTGAATCATTGTGTTTTTGTCATCCAATGAGTCGTTTATACCTACATAACGAGTGTGTACCAGGTCCCCGGGAAGAGTGCCGGAGTTTGACGCGAATTTGACACAGTGGTCAAACCGTTTAATTACAACTTCAGGGTCCGTCACGTGATGCCATTGGGCCCACATAGACTTTTCCCATAGACTTGCTTTGGGAAATAGATATTTGTAAACTTGGAGTACATTTTGTTTTGAGGTGAATCATCTTTCCAGTGCTAACTGTTGAATCCCCCTTGTTTAAATCATTAGAGTTGTAAAATGCACTAATGTGAATGAGCCCGAGAACTACGCTGGACCGAGTGCTGGGATGCAGGGTTTGAAGGAAACGCTATGGTGATTTAGCTCTATGGGCTCTCTACAAGATCTGGCAATTTTTAGCAGAACTTTATATTTCATGCCCTACTGAGCAACTATCTCAATGAACAAATCCCCGCCTCCAACGCTAACCAGTTCTCTTTGTACATCTATGGCAGGTCCTCTTCAGAGCCAATCGGCAGGTTTCTACAGTAGGGCCATTCGCGTTTCACGTCGGCCATTGTAGTTGAAAACAACAATGGTCTGCAACCAACTGCAATTACTAGTCATTTATAGGCATAGTTCAATATTTGTTTAAATACCCTTCCTATTATGCGTTTTTGGGGGGGGAGGGTTGTGCTCTAACTTTTTATTGTTGACGAACGACAGTTCATCCATTTTGTCCTTTCCTGTGAATATGAAGTATGGAGCTAGAGCAGGGGTGGGCAAACTTTTTGGCTTGGGGGCCACATTGAGTTTTAAAATTTGACAGACGGGCCGGGCCAGTAGCAGATGAATGGAGAGTGTTTGTGTGACCTAATATGAATTACAAGTAAAAGCTATGACCTAAAAAGTAACTTGCATTTAATTTCAGTAGGAACAGTGTTGTTGGTCACCCTTTTTAACCAGTGCGTCAACGTTTGGTGTCAGTTTGGTTGTGGCAATTCTCAGAACAGATCTGAGGTGTTCATCAGTTAGCTGGGATCTTACATGGTATTTTTTTTTTTAAATCGCATTAATGTCGTGCACTTACTTATTAAATAGTCATTTTTTGACACAGTGTTTTTAGTGTAAAGGTTAATAACTGTAGTCTTTTTAGCAGTTTGATTCTTTGACCGGATCATACACATATTTGACTGTCACATCTAACATTATCAGAGTAATGTCTTTGTAATGTCTGTCCTTGTCTCTCCCCCTGTGTCACGGTGTGGGTACATCTCACTGGCGTCAGGAAACGTGTCAGAATACCCTTGTTTTATTGGCTAAACTGCATCACGTGACGTGATTTACAACGCATTGGTCGGTGTTTTTCCTGCACCGCTGAACAAGTGCCGTACATGCTGGAAAGGAGCGCGAATAACTCCGCTGCATAAAGCAAAGGCCCGCGACCAACTGAAAACGGGTCCGTGACGAACCACCAGTTGAGAATCACTGGTTTACAGGATCGTGAAGAGCGGTGAACAGCTGTTTGTGTGGCGTGTCTTCCGTCTCTTCCTGTTTCCTTCACCTACATTCCCCTGGGCCCTAAGCCCCTCCCTGTACAGCTTCTTATCACCTCTTTGCACCAATGTACATTTATAACAAATACCACACATATTACACGGTAATCAGCGTTGCATATGTGTCAAACTCTATCGGTGCATCTCCGGTCTGTCTTTGTTCATCCTGCATCGCTCTGTTCTGTTCTCTAATGTAACGTAACTGGAGCGACGGAGCCTCTCCAAGCTGTTAGCAGACTGTTGTGCTAGCAAGCAGGCTCGCTCGCGAGCTGTACCCAGCATGCAGTTCGGCGGTGAAATTATATAAATGTACAATTATTAGTGTTACAAATTGTTTATGTGTTACAGACTGTTGTGTGCTGTTGTGTTTTTCTCTGTTAAAGAGCGTTAGTTGTGGGTTGTTAATTGTTGTGTTATAAAGTTATGACCATGACTAGAGTTCCCTCTCAATACATATAAGAGAACTAGCGCTGACCACTGTGAAACAGCAGCAAACAAAACATTTAGCTGCCTGTTGAAACCAGACAGCAGTTGTGCTGTCCGGCTATGCACTGATATAATGGTGTGTGAAGAATTCATATCCTACGGGAAATTAAAACCGGTATACTGCTCAGCCCTAGTCTTTATTATAGTTTGGACAATTTTGTACCAATATTTGACGGGTTGGATTAAAAAGCCCAACGGGCAGTAGTTTGCCCATGCCTGAGCTAGAGCCACTTCTGTTTTTGCACAGACTGAACAAACAAGATGTAACAAGATGGTTAGTGGTCTGTAGAGGGGCTGGAAGGTGAATTTGATCACCTCTGGACGCATTCAGGCTAGCTGTCCCCCCCCTGTTTTCCCTCTTTATGCTAAGCTAACCAGCTGCTTGCTCCAGCTTCATAATTATTGTACAGACATGACAGTGGTATCAATCTTCTCATCTGAGTTTGGCTAAAAAGCAAGTAGAGGTCAGTGTATTTCCCAAAATGTGGAACAATTTCTTTAAGCCGTACACAAATAAATGTGAAAGAAACCCCCCCGCAATTTATAGTTTTAGAGGCAGTTAGGTGGTGTAACCATTTCTCGACTGAAAACGGTTTAGCCATCCTCCCGGATACTTTTTGTACAGTGTCTTCACTGGTTGCATAGCAACTTCCTTTACATGCACTTAAGTAACCAGGTTACAGTCTGCTTTCTTTAGTAAGCTGATCTCATAAAAGTCATGTGAACAAGAAGCCAGGGTTTCTGTAAATGGGGGTAGAGGGTAAGAGAAACCTTATTCCTCCATCTAGATGTGTCCTGGAGAATGCCTCTTTCTTGGCTATACAAGCGAGGTTTCTTATTGGCTATTTAATGTGCGCATGTGCCCCCAAAACATCTGGGTCAGACAGGGGAAAGTATTGCCACAACAGCAGGGCGGCAGACTGAAAGTAAAGATCACTACAGAACATGAATTAATTCCATCTGACTTAAATGGAAACGGAAACAAAGTAGCCTCTAGAAGTCTAAATAAGTGGTTTTCCAACACTGAACTTCTGACTATTTGTTAAATTCAGACACATTTGTGCTGTGAAACCAGGAAGCGGTGTCTTTTAACTATACAATTAAAATAAATACAGTAAAATATGCGATGCTTCCTATTTGGTCTGGGGCCTGTTTGAGCTATATAAATCAAATTGACTTGATTTTGGTTTTCTGCATACACAGCATGGCTGTGAAGCGCTGTAAAGATGCTGCTCCAGGCTTTGGTTTGCTCCACCCACATCTTTACAAGCTACACGGTTTAGAGAGCTTTGTAAATACCACAAGTAATGCCAAGAATGTAGACAACTTCACTGCTCGGTGTCAAGTCTTCGGTGGCCTGCTAAAACCACACATCTCTTCATTTCCCAGTTCATTGTCAGTATATTGGCATCCGTCGGCTGACGGTGTTAAGTGTTCAACATGTGTCGTCTGCCTGTAGGAGAATATTCTGCTCCCATTAGGTTCTCTGACTGACACTGTCATCAGGCTATAGGAAATGCACAGCAGTGAGGCTTTCTTTTCTGCTCAGTTCCATCAAGTGTTAAATCACAGTTTAAATCAGACAGATTCAGTTCAGTGTAGCAGCTGGTGTTTGATTAGTCACTGACTTTAAATGCGGAGCACTCTTTAATTTTGTCACAGAAGCCTTTGACATTCCTTGTCTGGAGAGCGGTCACGCCCTCAATTATGCCTAACTTTAAACCTTGATTTAATTTAAACGGCACAGTTTTCACGACTGGGGATATTAGCTTTCGAGACCAGGCTATAAACATGTTTAAATTTGCTGTGAAGTTGGGCATTTTAATATGGGGGTCTATGGGGATTAACTTGCTTTTGAAGCCAGCTTCAAATGGCCATTTGTTGAACTGCAGTTTTTGGCAATGCTGCGTTGGCTTCATTCTGCAGCACTGGCAGCTGCCACTTGGTGTAGTGTTGCCCTGTGACTGAACCTTGACCCCAGGTAACCCCTCCCACCTGTCAACTGTTGAATCGCTCATGGCCACATGAGTGTCTCTCTCTCTCTCTCTCTCTCTCTCTCTGCTCTGCTCTGCTCTGCTCTGCATGTTCTGACATGCCGAGGGAGGAGTCAAATAAACCCCAAACAGGAAAAACCGGAGAGCGTGAGAGATGGATAGAAAGAGAGATGGAGAGAGGGCGGTGTGAGGGTTGTAAAAGAGCTGAGGGCATGAGAAAGTAAAAGTGAATTTCATGCTAAGGCTGCAGTTTTGGATCGATGAAACTGAGAGGAGGGAAGACTGTAGCTGTCATTAGAAGACGGAGGACGACTCCGTCATCAGGGGAGGGGTGAGATACAGTGTCATTATTTCTGTGAAAAACATGCTGTCAGTTCCTCTCTTGACTCATTCCTTTTCCCTCTTTCTGATTTCTCACTGAATAGCTCCACGAACTCCAGGAGAGGCACGCTCAACGCTGGCAGCCACGGATCCTCCTCTTCGCTTTGGTGCTTCGAACCGTGCAACAAAAAGATCCTGACAAATCCAAATCAAGACACCGAAGAGGTGATCCATTAGCTGACTCAACCTTTCCCTGACTCCTCTTCTTGTCAGAATTATGCCTTAAGGCCTGCAGGGGGAAGGACAGCCACTGATAATGATCGCCTGATGCAACACTTTCAGGAACCGTCAGTGTGAGGAAATACCCAGAGCTGTCACAAAACCAGAGGTGTCACCAGCTGCAGATCTACCTAAAAGTTGGGAGTACGATTACTGGAGGAGCATGGGACAGGGAGTAAAGAGCACTGAGTTGTCCCCTGGAAGTCAGACGCCCGGGAACAAATGAGTAGCAGCGGATTTTCCAGCTTGCTCCAGGGCCGGCGTTTCTACTGCCGGGAATGGGCCCTGGACAAGCTGCGACGCTGCCTGGACACCCGCTCCGTGCCGGGGCAGCCGCCAGGGCTGCTGGTGATGGGGGGCCCTGGCGCCGGGAAGACCGCCCTGTGCACCGAGGTGGTGTGGCCCATCTCGAAGGCAGGGCTGGCGGTCGGGCTGGCACCGCGCTGCCTGGCCTCCCACTTCTGCCAGCGGGAGGACCAGCGGAGTACTTCGCTGTGGAGGTTTGTCCTGGGCCTGGTGGAGCAGCTGAGGGCCTCACCTCTCCTCTCTCCTGGGTACGAAGAGACCCTCAACAGCCCGTCTGTATCCTCCTGTCTGGAGCCTGTCGCCTGTCAAAGAGACCCCGACGACACCTTCAAGAGGTTTGAATCTTTTTTTTTTCTTCCGTAAAGAATGTTCAAAGTTTTTGATATTACAGTCATATGGTTGTTCTGAAGAGGGTTAATCTTTATCGTAATAGGTTTGAGGGAAATTTCAAGGTTGCCAAATGAGAGGGAGAGGAAAGTTTAAGGAAAGTGTAACAAGCCTGAAACCCATCCAGGCGCTCTGCATGTGTGTGCTTGTTCAAGAGCGTGGCTCAGCACAGCACGGTGCACATGTGGTATCACATTCTGTAAATGGTGATAGTTGGATGAAGGCAGGAGCAGCTGAACAAGGTTACATCTGACATGAGTCAGCGGGCAAACAAGTGGTTTTATTGGTGAAAACAACAAGGTGAAAACCTGCGCCGCAAGTTCGTTTTTTTGTTTGGTGAATTGACAGTTTCAACATTCGTTTGTGGTGACCCAAAACATCCAACGTCGGTAGTCATTTTAGACGCCATAACCCTGATCATGAGAATGTGTAATTTGTTTTGTTTTCAACCTGACATGCTATGATTTGAGATCATTATGATCTTAATGCCACACAACACCGATAATGTGAATTTGATTTGTAGCTTATTGCTTCAGTTCCAACTAGGGCAGGATGGTTAAATCAATACAGCATATGTACATACAAAATCAATCCAATTAATTCTTAATACAGTTAAACACTTGTTATTGAATAGCATGTGTACAACAACACTTTGCCTGGCATAGCTAAATTGTACAAGATCATTTTGTAAAATGATAACATATAATTGAGCCTTTGCAAAGTCCCGGCCCCCACTGCTACTCCATCAAGGTGTCAGAACCACCGTGGAGCCCACACTGTCACTAACTTCCCTCTCTGAAGAACTATTCTCTGAAGGGTCTACAACATGCGTTTGAAGGATGCATCCAGGATGTCAAACTGATTCAGCAACAAAAAACGGTTCAAAAGATAAAGATAGACGTTAAAGCCTACAGATCACAGTGTAAAAGTGACCTGGCTGTCACCTGGCGTTTCAGACAAAAAACAGAGTTCCTGTAAAGCCAAGAATGTCATAAGCTAAGGATGTAATAAGGTACTCTCCTGATGTTAGCTCCACAAGTCTTTACGAAGAAGCGTAATGTTTTGTAATGTAAAGTTGACAAACAGTGATTTTGAATTATCAGCACTCATTGCAATATTAGCAACACTGTAATACAACATGCTTATACATATAAAAAAGCTCCGCCCTCACTCATAAAAGAGTCATTCAGGCTCAAACACAGTGGCAGCTCATGTTGTGTGAAAAAGATCCATGAAAGCTTTACAGCTGCGTCCAAATAGAGGAGTTTTCAGCAGGTCAACAATCTAACAGGTTTAGACAGTCAACAGACAAAAAACAGTTTGAAAGCCTGTAAATGTAAAACCCATTTGGCCATCACAAGAGAGGCCATGACAGTCACAGGAAAATTGACGGCAGCAGCTATTCTTCTTCGTCTTATATTTATTTCTCCTCTCATAATGCGGCCCATTCACAGCACACACAATGGGCCTCCACTGTGAATGAATGCTACTGTTATTTACGACACAACTTCCCTTTCAGCGAGGGGGTAGAAGAAGAAGAAGAGAGAAAAAAAAAAAAGAACAAAGAGGTGAAAAATGCCTCCAGTACCCCAGTGACCGTCTCAGCGGCAGTCAACGAGGTCACCCTCCTCTTTTGGACTTCTTTTTTTTTCACTCTCTCCCGGCATGTTTACTCTGCAATGAGTCTGAGCCTTTTTACACTCCTCCTGTGTTTGCCTACCTCTGGTGTGAAGTACCGAGCTGGATTCCTCACTCCCCTCAGAATGGCTCACAGCCAGACGCTGTTTGTGTTTGGAGCACTCGTGAGAGAAAGTGGCTGCGGGCGAAACCTTGCCACGTGAGAACAGCCGTTGACAAACTGTTGAAACATGGGCTTGAATGGGCAGTGGGAGGACGTACATGGGACGCAGGTTTTGCCTTGAACCGGCTGAGCGATGGGTGTTGTCAGCTTTTGGTGAATTTAACTCAAAGTTGTGTCATTATTTGACAGTTAGGGTTGGTTTCACATCTGTGGCTCACTTGACCTGCGAATAAAAAATGTCATGTTGCTATTTCGTCTGGTCCATGGTTCATGTTCACACTGTCGTATTAGAAACTTACCAAGAGGACAGTGGGGGAAGAAGTTCTTAGACGCTTTACCTATAATTAAAGTAGAAATACCATGGTCTGAGTCTACATTGTAAAAGTAAAAGCCCTGAATTAAAAAGTGGGCTTACGTTAAAGTACAGATGTGTACAGAAGCAAAATGTACTTAAAGTATTAAAATCAAAATGACTCGTAGTGCAGGATGGCTCCTTTTGCAGTGTTATTATAGAATATTATATTTGATTCTGTTGTTGTCACTTATGCATACACAAGAGCATGTTAATGTTGTAGTACATCAGTGTGGAGCCAATTTTAGATACTTTGTATACTACTGGGTAGACTAGTAGTATAGTATAGTACATATCATATATATCACATCTCATGTTTTTGTGTTATGTTAAATGTAACTAGTATAGGTGTCAAAGAAATATAGTGAAGTAAAACGTACATTTCCCTCTGAATTGTAGTATAAGTATAAAGTAGCATAGAATGGACATACTTAAAGCTTGGGTAAGTAACAGTGGAGAAAACAGGAAGAGTACACCACATTTAAAAATGTATTTAACCGGAGAAAAAAACACCGAAGTGTTGCCAACTCGTTTCCAATGAAAGTAGATACTAACTCCAAAAAAAATCATCATAATGAACTTAAACAACAAACATGGCTATTATCAGTACCCACCGTTGTGTCAGGATCCCTGTCAGACCAGACGCCTCCCATGGCCACACAGCTGCAGCTACTTCAGCTAATCACCTCCTGCAGGCTGACACACCAGACTCAGGTCCCACTAACGATTACCCTGGCACTATATAAACTCTGGCCCTACAGTCTGGGGTTGTCAGGTCGTACCGTCTTTCACCCGCTTCAACCCCGTTGCATCTTCTGCCTCGAGCGCCTGCCTCCGGTGTCTGTCGGTCCAGGAATCCCCCGTGCCCTCCTTTGTGTTTACGGACTACTCACCGCTGCTCTGCCCTCCGTGGTGTTAACGGACTACACACCGCCGCTCTGCCCCTCCGTTGTGTTAACGGACTACACACGCCGTCAAGCTGCCAGCTCTCCGGTGACGAGCCACGGGACATCACGCCGTCAAGCTACCAGCCCTCCGGTGTCGAGCCACGGGACTCACACCGTCGATCTGCCTA